GTGCACCTGAAAATAAAGCAGCTGTGGCAGGTGTACACCAGGGCCACCAGGGGTGGCGCCGCAGCAGGGGCTGACACCTGCCCCTACTTTCCCACCCTTGACCAACTCCTGGGGGGAAGGGCGGTCTGCACCAGCCCGGGAGGCAGCGAACTGGGACCGGAGGGGCCACAACAAGGAGTTCCACCACCGGAGTTGGCAGGGTCGGCCACGGAGACCATACTGGGTAAGTGTCCCCTGCCCAGGGACCAGGCACGTGGGCCATGCCTCCCACGGATCATACAGCCACTTGTGCACATGCGAGCACGTGCCATGCCACCCTTGGGCAGGTGGCTCCAGCAGCATGACTCCCAGGGGCCATGGCCCAATAGGCACATGTGTGTGTAAAGAGACCTGACACGTTCCCGACCCCGGGGCAGGACCCAATAGGATGCTCTCCCTTCACATGACCCTTCTACACAGAGTCAGGGGATTGCAGACAGTGCGTCCAGGCTGCTGGCAACGTGTCCACGAGACGCAGCAGAGTCCCCAGGGGCAGGTCTGGTTCCATGTTGCAGAATGCCGTGGTGTCCTGAGTGAGGGCAAGCAGAGCACTTCGAGACACAAATGCTTTGCTGTCCCTCAGCGAGGTAGACCAGCAAGCAGAGAAACCTGAGAACTGTCTGTCTGAGATGGGGGGTCGGGTCCCTTTAAGCACAGACCTTGTATAGCCTGAGGCAGCAGCCCCATACACTAAGTCCGACCCTGATGCCCTGCCGGCACTGGTTCCAGCCAGCCTTACCTTCGATTCAGGGTCCACTCAATGTGGATGCGCTATTTCAAATTAGAAAAATGCTATTTCAAATTAGTTTTTGTCTATAGCTGCGTTATTTTGAAGTAACTAATTCGAAATAAGTTAATTCGAAATAGCACTGTGGTGTAGACATACCCTAAGGTGCTGCAAGACTATTTGTTGTTTTCTTATTTAGGAAGAGTTCTTGATCAAACAGACAAACAGAGAAACTCTCTCAAATATATAGCAAACTAGCATAAGCAGAAATGAAAATGTCTTGATTTTTCCTTTCGCCCATGACATTTTGTCATCATCAACACATACCTTTGTAATATTTCAATTTTGTTCAATCAACGTTTTCACACAGATAAGTTTTGAGCAAATCTACAGCATTTTTACCATTCAGAAATGGTCTTTTTATTAAACTTAAAAATGAAAAAAATAATTTTCCCTCTTTTCCTTTTTGTTAAAATGACAAATAGAATAAAAGGAAATGGACTGGTAGGAGAAAAAATGAAAAGTTTTTGAAACTCAGAGTTTTTCAACACATCAGTCATTCCTTTTCAAAACCTATAAAATGAAAAAGATATAGAGATTTAGAAAATATTTCACAGTTTTAAAGAATTAAAAACCTGTTTTGCTACTAACCTCTAAAAGAGAATTCAGAGAAGAACAATAAATCTCCTTTTTATTCCAACATCAAAAAAGAATAGTAAAAGGTTATACATTTCATTAGGCTGCCATTCACATTGAATCTTATAATACAACTGTCATGTTCAAATCAAAACACCATTTTACCATTTTGGACTGAATTTCATCAAAACCCAAAATCCATCCGTATGACTGAAGAAATCTTCTAAGATTCAGCCCATGTTTCAGAAGTCTTTCATTTGACCTTAGATTTGTTAACTGCCTCTCTCCATGGCTACGTCTAGACTGGCAAGATTTAGCGCAAATTCTTTTCACGGAAAAGTTTTTCTGTTAAAAGTATTTCTGCAAAAGAGCGTCTAGATTGGCACGGATGCTTTTGTGCAAAAAGTGCTTTTGCGCAAAAGCATCCGTGCCCAGAATAGACGCGCTTTTGCGCAAGAAAGCTCTTATGGCCATTTTGGCCATTGGGCTTTCTTGTGAAAAAAATTAAGGTGCCTGTCTACACTGGCCCTCTTGCGCAAGTATTCTTGCGCAAGAGGGCTTATCCCTGAGCAGGAGCATCAAAGTATTTGCACAAGAAGCACTGAATTCTTACATTAGAGCGTCACTGCTCTTGCGCAAATTCAAGCACCCGCTTTTGCGCAAAAACTTGCCAGACTAGACGCACCCAAGAGTTTTTGTGTTAGAGTGTTTGAGTAACAGAACGTCTATACTGGCAAGATTTGCTTTTGCGCAAAAGCATCCGTGCCAGTGTAGACGCTGTCTTGCACAAGAAAGCTCTGATGGCCATTTTAGCCATTGGGCTTTCTTGCACAAGAAATTGATGTTACCTGTCTACACTGACCTCTTGCGTAAGTGTTCTTATTCCTGAGCGGGAGTGTCAGAGTATTTGCGCAAGACGCACCGATTTCATACATTAGAAAGTCAGTGTTCTTGCGCAAATACTCATGGCCAGTGTAGACAGGCGGCAAAATTTTGCACTAAATCCTGCCAAAGTAGACGTAGCCCAACTGTCCCTGATCCAGTATTAAGTGGAAAAGATCTCCCATTACCATTCTCTAGTGGCACCAGTATGTCACTGCATACCTCATAGGTAAATATCACCTGCCCTGACACAGCTGATTGTTGTTGCTTTATCGCCATCTGCTGGTCAATTGGGGTGAGACCCAGTTTTACAAACTTATAAGTGGATTCTGTGCCTCTGAGATGGACTAAAGATACCAGATGTGGAGGTGATGTCTGGAGACTGATTATAGGTGAGAGCCCTGCTTAAAGAGAAGATTGTAACTGGCTGAAATTAAATTTGAGTCTTAGAAGCATATTCTTAATATAGTTTGTAACCCTTTCTAAAGTTTATTCCTGCTCCTAGGTATCACTTGAACTATAACTTTTGTTTAATAAACTTGTTTTACTTTTTACTATAAACTAAACCAGTGCTTTAATTAAGGGGCTCATCTACATTGGCCCCTTTTCCGGAAGGGGCATGTTAATTTCAGAGATCGTAATAGGGAAATCCGCGGGGGATTTAAATATCCCCCGCGGCATTTAAATAAAAATGTCCGCCGCTTTTTTCCGGCTTTTAGAAAAGCCGGAAAAGAGCGTCTACACTGGCCCCGATCCTCCGGAAAAAGCGCCCTTTTCCGGAGGATCTTATTCCTACTTCAAAGTAGGCGTAGCCAAAATGTTTAAAGTCTGAGTGTTTCTTAATCCCTCTCAAGTGACAAAGCTGCAGCTGTAGTTTCTTTAAAAGGAACGGCAAACCTAGTAACTTCTCTGTGTTGATACAACCTAGTTGGGATTGGTCCTGCCTAGGCAGGGGGCTGGACTTCATGACCTTCTGAGGTCTCTTCCAGCTCTATGATTCTCTGATTCTATGACCCCCTTACATGTCTGCACTATACCCTTGGAATGTGACACCTGGCCAGATTTCCACCTTTATGGTTTTTCCTTAGTCCTGTGGCCAAGTCTCATTTTGTAAAGCTTTCATGGGAGATGTCAGCAACTTGTTACTTGACACACAGAAAGCCTGGTTTTCAACAGATAGCATCCTGCAGCTCTCATAGTGGTGGGCGCATGGCACTTCTAGAAATCAGGACTCAACAATAAATGTAACTGAACTGAGCTTCTGTTGCACTGGATGCAATGGACAGAGTGAAATGCAATTGTAATATTTGGACACCAGAAGAAGCCAATGAAGGATTTTGCTTCTTGCTCAATGCAGATGGTTTAAAAATAAGATTTAGCTCTTAGAACATGTTTTTCAGCTTGGATTAATTCTTGGCTTCTATAAGTAGAAATTTGGGCTGTGAGTTGTTGGCAGCACAGGATCTGCATGCGAAAGTCACCTGACAGAGGGACAATATGGTTCAAGGTGCTACGGAGGAGTCCAGAACCAGCCAGCCAGTACATCCCACAATGAGCATGTTTATACTGCACACAAAGTCCGAGCCTGTAGGACCTAGAACTGAGTGCTTGGTGTTTCCAGGCTTGGGCTTGAGAGTCTATGACGTATTGTAAACTTGAGTTTAAAATTGCTGTACCTGGGTGTCTCAGCCATTCTAACGCATCTATAGAGAGCATTAAATTGCAGCAAGGGAGGTTGAGGATGGACATGAGGAATGGTCAAGGTGGTTAAATACTGGAATAAATCATCTAGGAAGGCAGTGGAATCTCCATCACTGGAGATATTTAAGAGCAGGTTAGACATTGATCAAGGATGATCTAGATCAGGATGGGCAATAATTTTTTATGGGGACCACTCCAAGACTTTGGTAAGTGGTCGAGGGCTGCACTCTTCCATTATATTAATGGAGGAGGTGTGGGGGTCTGGGATGGAGGATGGATGCAGAAGGGAGCTTGAGGTAAGGCAGAGCTACTACACAAGCAGCCCGCAGCCTGCAGTGTGGTTTGGGTTTACGTGGGACTCAACATGTGGCCTGCAGGTGGGAGCCAAATAAAAAAGTAGTCAATAAAATGGACTTCCCTTGATAGGCCTTTTAGTAGTTAAATTCCTGAACTGTCATTGCTCATTCAGAGTATGTCTAGATTATAAGCTTCTTTTGAAAGAGAGTGTCCATGTTTCAAAACCGCATTGAAAAAGTGATCAGCATAAAAAGCCACTCGGAACCACTTCATCCAGGGCATTAAATCAGCAGTTACTTCCTGGTGCTGTTGCCTAAGGCTTAAAGGGACCCCCTTGGACAGCCATTTCTCAGGTTCTGCTGTGTGCTTGCCTGTCTATCCGAGGGACAGCAGTGTGTGCTCTGGTTGCCAAGCTTTGTTGGACATCACAGCATTATTTTCTTTTTGGCTATGGAGGATGTGATGGGCATGCAATGGCCCCACACTGTCATGCTTCAGGTTCTGCAGCAGTTTCAGAAGACAGCTCCCATCGGCAGACAACCAGTTCGGTGTGGGGAAGTCCACCGTTGGGGTCATCATGGAGGTAAGGCACTCTCGGGGTGCATTCCCTGTGTGGGGGGGGGGAGGCTTGGAAAAGGGGGATCCTTGGGAAAGGGGAAGGAGAATGGGAGGTGAAGAGGGGTGGGGGGAATCCCCATCACTGGTGGGGGAGATGTTTATGCCATCCTGCCCTCATACAACCCTGCTGCTGGGGGAGGGGGCCAGTCTCATAGGCTGTGTCCAGACTCAGGGTTTTTTTCAAAAAAAGTAGCCTTTTTTTTTCGAAAAAACTTCACCTGCATCTAGACTACAGCCGCGTTCTTTCGAAATTAAATTGAAAGAACGCGGCTTTTCTTTCGACGGCGGTAAACCTAATTTCACGAGGAAGAACGCCTTTTTTCGAAAGTGCTCTTTTGAAAAAAGGCGTTCTTGAATGGCAACAGGGCTTTTTAGAAAGAGAGCATCCAGACTCACTTGCTGCTTTCTTTCGAAAAAGCGGCTTGCTTTTTCGAAAGTTCCGCTTGCAGTCTAGACGCTCTTTTTTGAAAGAGGCTTTTTCGAAAGTATCTTTTGAAAAAGCCTCTTTCGAAAGAGGCTTGCAGTCTAGACATAGCCATAGATTGTGGCTCCTTGGATGTTTGGGGGAGGGAGAAAGGCGACAGGCACCTCCCAAGGGCTCAGGCACCCCCTCTCATTCTCTGTTTCTATATCTCCTTCTGTACATGGTGCAGGCCATCAAACTCCATCCTGCTGAGCAGGGTCATCCACCTTGGAGACCTGGACCTGATGGTGGCTGGATTTGCTGCCTTTGGCTTCCCGAACTGCAGAAGAGCAATCAATGGGACCCACATCCCGAACCGTGCACCACAGCATCAAGCCACCCAGTACATGAGCAGGAAGGGATATTTCTCCATGGTGCTGAAGGTCCTTGTCAACCACTGGGGACAGTTTTCAGACATTTTTGTAGGGTGGTCGGGCTGGGCACATGATGCCTGCATATTTAGGAACTCTAGCCTGTACCACAAACTGGAGGCTGGAACATTCTTCCCCCAGGGGCACTTTCACGTGGGGGACTTACAGATGTCACTCTGTATCATTGGCAATGCTGCATACCCACTCATGCCGTGACTCATAAAGCCCTACACTGGCCACCTGGACCGCACAATTCAACACGCACCTGAACCAGACCTGAATGTAGGTGGAATGCGCCTTTGGGTGCCTCAAGGCCAGGTTCAGGTGCCTTCTGACGTGTCAACATGGGGTAGCACAACATCCCTGAGGTGGTCTCTGCGTATTGCGTGCGCCACAACCTAGTGGAGGGCAAAGGGGAGACCTTCCTCCCAGGGTGGGGAACAGAGGCTGGTTGCAAGGGAAGGGTTTTTGACCAGCCGTGGACAGCTGCCTTCCACCAGGCCCATCAGACCAGGGAAGAGCCCAGTAACTCTCCCCAGGGCCTCCCCAATGGGGGCTTGTGCCTTGCCCCCCTTATACTTTTCCCATCACAACTCCTCCTTTCCCCACTTCCTGTGCAAATAATAAATGCACCAGTTTTGGTTTCAACAAAAACTTTGTATTTTGTTTTTTATAATAAAAGTAACTGGGGCGGAGGGAGGCTGAGAACCTGGATGGGGGAGGGAGGATGGGGGCTCAGGGCTTCAAGTGGCACGTGGTGTGGCTGGAAGTTCCGCCTTGGGTCCAGGGACCTTGACGAACTTGGGGTTGGGTGGGGCCTGTTACAATGGGGGGAGGGAAGGTGCAGCAGGAGAAAGGGGTGGGAGGGAGCAGGATTGGGGAGAGCGAGAGAAGGGACAGGACCCGGGTATGCCGTCACTTCCCAGATGGTGGCACACAAGCTGGTCCCATATGCGATTGCGCCACTTGACGTCATCCCAGACCTTCTGCTGTATGTCACGCAGGACAGCCACGCACTCCTGCATGAGGTCCTTGTGCACCCTCCGATGCCTGCCCTCCCCCTGAGGGCGTGGCGTGGGAGTACAGGAGGGGTGCAAGGATTTGGGCTGTGACCAGGGATACAGGATTGGAGGGCAGGGTCTGAGATTGGGTTGTAAACTTGGGTGGGAGTTCAGGAGGGGATGCAAGGTCTGGGAGGGGGGTGTAACTTGGGGCAGAGGTGTGCAGGAGGGGGTGCAGGGATTTGGGCTGTGACCAGGAATAGCGGATTGGAGGGCAGTGTCTGGGAGAGGGTTGTGACCTGAGGAGGAGTGTAGGAGGGGATGCAGTATCTGGGAAGGTGTATGGGGACTACAGAAGGGCTGTGGAAGGTTTGGGTTACATGGGGTAGGGGTACACAAGGAGAGCAGAGGGTTGATTGTGGGAGGGGCTGTTATAAGAAGCACATGGGATCTTTTAGGGGAAAAGGCAAGACGCTGCTTTTACTGAAAGTACAAAATGAAAAGCTATACATGCATTCACACACACACGGGTCCTGCAGATGGTGTATAGTTACCAGCCAAAAGTGGCTCAAGTCTGTCTTACTGGGCAGGTAAGACTAAGGAGTTGGGATCTTTCGATGGCCATTTGAGGCTCCTCTGAGGCTTGGCTTGCAGGACTGAACCCACAGTCTAATGGCAAGAGCTCTCCTTCTTATACATTCAAGTTCCCATTAGAGTCTATGGGTTTTGCAGTGTCATGCTGCAATCATTAATCTTTAAATGGTGTTAGTCTCCAGGTTTTCTGCAATTACACTTTGATGGCTGCTGTCAGGCTGCCCATCATTGTCTCTTGTGTGTGTGTCATTCTTGGGGGTGTCTGCCTGCCTCCAGGATTCGTCAATTGTGCTAATTGAATTAAGCCACAATGGATTCAGTCACAATGTGGCTGTGTCTACACTGGCATGAATTTCTGGAACTGCTTAAAACGGAATACTATTCCGTTTTCAGTTTTTCCGGAAAAGGAGCGTCTACATTGGCAGGCTGCTTTTCCGGAAAAGCCCTTTTTCTGGAAAAGCGTCTGTGGCCAATGTAGATGCACTTTTCCAGAAAAGAGCCCCGATCGCCATTTTCGCGATCAGGGCTTTTTTCTGGAAAAGACTACTGGGCTGTCTACACTGGCCCTTTTCCGGAACAGTGTTCCGGAATAAGGACTTATGCCCGAGTGGGAGCAGAATAGTTTTTCCGGAATAGCGGCTGATTTTGTACAGTAGAGCATCGTTGCTTTTCCGGAAATTCAAGGGCCAGTGTAGACAGCTCGCAGCTTATTCCGGAAAAGCGGCTGATTTTCCGGAATAAGTGGCCCAGTGTAGACACAGCCTGGATGTTTCCTGGTTATAGTCAAGGTTTCCATTTCTTCTTGACCACCTGGGCATTTGTGATGGCTTTTCCACTTGCACGCCTCCTCCACTCACACCTCACAATTTTACAGAGTTTCAGACAAGATTACAGGAATAATAAAAAGAAAGGAATCTTGTACAACTTAGTTTGGGATGCAGACAAGGGGTACAGCTTAATTAGTAATGCTAACAAAAAGCAAGGCCTTATAGTAAATATTATCTACCATAAGAGAAAGGGTGAAATAGAAGCCAACCAAACTTCTAAGCAAATCATTATGCACCCTACTTACAATCTTATACCAATACTAAAATATCACAGTCTGGCTGGATGTCTGGGGTGCCAAAGGCAGGCTCTGGCTGGGAGACCTTACCTGGATGGCTCCCAGCCAGCAGCCCGGCAGGTTCTTTAATCAGGATCCCTGCCTTCCACGCCCATGTTTGCTGTTGCAAACACTGTGAGACCGGGGGTGATGGGGAAGGGGCACTTCATATGCTGCCAGTCCTGCAAACAGGCAGCTGCTATTGCCAGAAACTGGCTAGTGGGAGCTAGAGGGGGCAGGAGCAGTGTGTGAAGCCTCCGCCTCCTTCCCCAGTCTCCCAGCATTCAGAGATATACATGGCCCAACAGCAGTCTGCTTTCCTGAGTGCAGAGTGGGGGCGGGGCAGGCAGGGAATTGGCTGAGACTCTGGCGGCTTGGCAGGCCGGATGCAGTCCGCAGATCATATTTTGCCCCAGCCCTGATCTAGATGGTATTTGGTCCTGCCATGAAGGCAGGAGACTGGACTTGATGACAGGGTAGATTGTTTTAAATTTAAATCACCAAAAATCTTGTATTTAAATCACGTTTCTCACTGTTACTTCTTCATATATTTCTTCAAACAATGAGGAGGAAATCTGATAATTAAACCATATTAATTTATAGCTCAGTACCGCATTTTTCAACATCTAAGAAGGCTGTGTCTAGACTGTGTCTTTGTGGCTGTGTCTAGACTGGAAAAACTTGCCAGCTGTCTACACTGGCCGCTTGAATTTCCGGAAAAGCACTGACGATCTCATGTAAGATCATCAGTGCTTTTCCGGAAATACTATGCTGCTCCCGTTCGGTCAAAAGTCTTTTTCCGAAAGACTTTTGCACAAAAGGGCCAGTGTAGACAGCACAGTAGTGTTTTCCACAAAAAAGCCCCAATCGCGAAAATGGCGATTGGGGCTTTTTTGCGGAAAACCACGTCTTTTGTGGAAAAGCATCCTGCCAATCTAGACGTGCTTTTCCGAAAATGCTTTTAATGGAAAATTTTTCCGTTAAAAGCATTTTCGGAAAATCATGCCAGTGTAGACGTAGCCTGTGTGATTATTTTAGATAACTTGATTTTCATTAATTTAGGAAATAGTACCCGATACTCAGGGCATGTCTACACTGCAGAGAAGATCAACTCTTCGGAGGTTGATCTTCTAACATTCGATTTAGTGGGTCTAGTGTAGACTCCCCCAAAAAATAGAACCCTGAGGGTGTGACAAAGTGGGGATTGTATTCACTCTGTTCACTTGTGCTCTGCTGAGCTTGTGTTTGTGAGTGAGGGTTGGTGTGTGTTCTTTTTTATTGTTTGTTTGTTTGTTTGTTTATTAATTTTCCCCTGTGTTTGAGAGTGAGGCTTTTTTTTTCCACTTCCCCTTTGCCCTCCCCCTCCCCTTGATGGAGTTTATGCTATGATTGGCTATGATTGCTAGGGGCTGTGATTGGCTGTGATTGGCAGGTGGAAACTGTTGGCTTCTAATGCTCTGCTGAGCTTGTGTTTGTGAGTGAGGGTTGGTGTGTGTTCTTTTTTATTGTTTGTTTGTTTGTTTGTTTATTAATTTTCCCCTGTGTTTGAGAGTGAGGCTTTTTTTTTCCACTTCCCCTTTGCCCTCCCCCTCCCCTTGATGGAGTTTATGCTATGATTGGCTATGATTGCTAGGGGCTGTGATTGGCTGTGATTGGCAGGTGGAAACTGTTGGCTTCTAATTAAAGTTTGAATTCTAGAAGCCTCTGCTGATTGGCTGAGCCTTGGTAGGGGGAGGAGCTTTCAGGCACTCCAGGGCTTTATAAGGCAGTGGGCAAGCAACCAAGGAGCTTGCGAACAGGTGAGTGCTAACAGGGAGGTAAGAGAGGGAGTTGGGAAGGGCCGGAGGTTCTCTTGCCTTTCTTTTTAAATCCCTTCTCCAGGACAGTAGCGATGGATGGTGATGGGTCTGCTGTTGTTACCTGCACAGCGTGTGCCATGTTTGTCTTCCTCCCGGAAGAAAGAACGGATTTCATCTGCACCAAGTGCAAGCTGGTCGACATTTTGGAAGAAAAAATTAGAGGACTGGAGGCCCAAGTGTCGACCCTACGCT